GCTGTCTATCGCTGCTGTTGATTGCAGTCATCATGAACTGTACAACGTTAATAGTGTAAAGCTCAAAAATATTATTCAAAAACTCTTTTGAAGCTATTGGTTGAGTAGCTGTCAAATTCGGGACATTTGTTGATATGTTCTTCTTGTAAATTCTATTATTTAAGACGCTTTTCTTGAAAGATTTCCTCAATTTGTTTAAACTCTATGTTCCGTTTTCTGAAGAAGTGATTTTGTGTAGCTTTCTTTGTCACTTTTTTCGCATGTTACAACGTCAATGTAATGACAAAGCAAAATGTAATAAACTGAGATTATTGTATTTTGTATTGATCTTGACGCGAAAAGTAATAATGCATAATGTAATAAAAAGATTTTTGCAAATCGTTAGGCGAGGAGGGGCAGGAATGGGGTCGGATGCATGTTTATTTCGTATGTTGATCATTGTATTACTACATGTATGGACAAGCATTTTATTTTTGGTGATAGAGAGAGTGGGAGATTTTTAAAGAGTATAGAATCCCAATTGTCAATAACCCCCTCCCCGCTATACATTTACATATGCCAGTACAAATTATATTTCTTTTTTTTATAGTTTTTTTAGATTCATTGCATTTGTCTATCAAAAAGCAAAAGCACACTAAACAACAAAATTTTGCTCCCCCCCAACAACCCCCATATGCAGGTGTCTTATTTGAAAACAATAGATTTGAATTTAACCTGATTTTAAATGCATGTAGGTAATGAAATAAAAAAGAAGTAAAAATCTGATCTTTTTTTAAGATTTCACAAATGTTAATTTTTTTTTTCCTTTTGTTCTATTTTTTTTCCAGTTTTTTTTTTCGCCAATTACTCATTTGAAAATTATACTTAACATGGCTGACAAAAAATTAAATTAAATTTTGAGTTTGTTCTTTTGCTTATTATTGACACAAAATGTAACATCGCAAAAGGTAAAAATCGTTTTATTATATTTTTTGTTATTACATATTGCATTGGTATCGGCGCAAAATGTAAGAACGCAAAATGTAATATTCCTAAAGAGTGTTACAATTTGCGTTATTACATTCTGCGTTGAGTACAACGCAAAGTGAAATAATTATTACACTTTGTGTTGTTATTACATTTCGCGTTATGTTGATGTCTGTGGTAATGTATTGTTGTTCAAGTTTTCATACTTGTTTTCTTTTTTGTTGTTGAAATCTTCGATACTTTATTTGAATATATATTTAAAATTCTTTCTGTTATATATAGATAATTATAAAAACAATGGATACATAAAATAATGAAAATTTGCATATATGTCTTAGAGAGACAAATGCAAAAGAAAAACTGGCTTGTATAAAGTTTGAGGTGATACATTCCTCTACTACAAAGTTTAGCATTTAATTATACATTGATTTTCATATTAGATTCAAATGGAAATAGTTTGTAGTAAGATGCTTTGCTTTCTTTTTTCAAAAACAGATATCATGTCTAATTATGATATGAAGAAAATTTGATAACATAAGTAGAAAGATAAATATTTCTTTTATCTCACCATAAAAAAGAAAGATATGAAGATGAATAGGAAAATGATATAAACTATCAAAGTAATCCTTTCATGCATAAATTATGTAAATCATATTAGAAAACATACTGAAGAGTGCTTATTTTAATTTCAGTATAAAAACGGTTTAATGAAAAAAAAATATGAGGGAATCTGCATGACACAGGGCATCCAAAGGATCTAAATGAAACATATGGAGATGATGATCAGCATTCAAGGTCAGAAGTCCATAAAACAATAAAAAAAATAGGCCATGGAGGAGTAAGTGAACATCCCATGCCGACTGGTCACACCCGCTGCTTGCTCCTTGTCAATCCGTCGTCAATTCAATCTGTAAATAATGAGCTTACAAATAGTATTAAAAAAACGTCACTCGGCATTTGACTTAATGATAAATTGTATGTTCTGAAAATGTCATTGTAACGACCATAGAACTTATGAATACACAGAAATTAGTTGATATCACAAATTCAATAGATGATATCACTTTTTGGCAGTAAATTCCAAAACGGCGCCCCATAATAGTCTACATTTTTAAAATCTAAATCTACAATTTTATTTCACATTGAAATGAAATGATAAGGAATCAGTGTCTAGTTAGTATAAATAATTAAAACCGATATGCAAATTATCCCATGTTTCCCACTTTCATTGATCTTCCTGGCATGCAATACTTCTGAGACAGGTTTTCCTTGTATATCTTCTAGGTGATATGATTATTCATAATGAAGGATTTAAAAAAAACATTGATAAGAACATTGAACTTTCTGAAATAAGTGAATTTTTGTGACCCTTTTCAATTTTTTTTCCAAATTGATGATTTTAGTACCTTGAAAAAAGCTAATTATCTCGCAAAGCATACAAACAAAAGATATATTGAAAAATATTTGTTTAACAGATAGATTGAGATATTAAAGAGCATATCGATATTTTGCTAGCTTGTTAATGAAAAGTTATTTTGTAGTAAAATATAGAAATTGATTTATTTATAATTGTTTTTTTTAATTCTAAGACGGTATGATTAAATATATATATATATATATATATATATATATATATATATATATATATATATATATATATATATATATATATATATATATATATATATATATATATATATATATATATATATATGTTTGTTAAATAATGATCATATTGGCGATGTTCTCAATATTTTGTTCATTAAAAATCCATATTGATAACTAAGTGTTCATATTGAGTCGCTTTTTATACTTGGAACTCAGGGATACATTTATTCAGCGTTTTATAGATTTCAAAATAGTTATAGCCTATGAGTAACCTTATATCTTTCTAGGTATGATCTCATTGACATTTTTTTATATAAGCTTTTTTTAGTTTGATTAACGTACTTGGTATAAGGAGACTTTATGAAAACCATGTATCAAAAGTGTTTATTTGTTATTAACAGAAATCAATAATGTTTATGCTTGTAAGAATACAGATTTCGTGAGAGTATCTTTAAATTTTATTCTGGAAGTGTTGCTGGTATGATATCGAAGTCCTTAAGTATAACGGCGGATGGCAACTCCCCCTGCTTTTAAGCGGAAGATATAAATGTAATGAAGATGCTTTTTACATCAATGCTTCTAGTACAAGTATGCTGATTTAAGCGAAAACAAAAATAAAATCTTTCTACCTTTGCATAATTTATCTTGCCACTGGTCAATTGTAAAATTCAGTATTGGAAGAGCAGGATTAGAAGACCAAATCTTCCACCAATCCCACTGGAAACAATTACACCCCATTATTAGCAGACCTAGGCCATTTCTGTATTCATTTGAAAAGAAGAAAACACTTGTTAAGGTCTTCAATTCGACATTTAGATATATCGACAACTTATTGCCAAATATCATTAGTTATTTCCATTCTGATGTCGATAAGATATATCTGGATGGGTTACAAAATAGCACAGATTCTGATACATGAATCGTTAGTCTATTATTTATGCACTGAATTGACTATTAATTTTCCCGTTAATTCCCGTTCATAACAAGGATCACATGGTGGGTGTGACCGGACAGCAGGGGATGCTCACTCCTCCATGACATTTGATCCCACCTCTGATGTTTTGAAGGTCTGTGTTTGCTCTGCGCTTATTTTGTATTTTTTTTATAGACTGACGTTAGTAGTAATCAAACAAGCAATCTTTATGATAGACGTAACGACTTTTACTATTCAAACTTATGCAGCAATTTATCATTATCATCTGGACACGGTGTTCAGAATATCAGCGGCCTCTGTCATCAATATGTGAGATCTTTAGTCTATATGACCTTGTCGACAAATACAATCCATCACTAAGTCAAATACTGATTGACATTTTTCAGATTACTTGTAAGACTATTCCTCAGTATTTTCACACTGAATTTTTTTCGAATTCCCTTTTCTTTCCCGATAATGACAAGGTTCGCATGACGGGTGTGACCGGTCTGCAGAGGATGCTCACTGCACCATTGCACCTGATTGCGCCTCTGGATGTTTAAGAGGTGTGCTCTGCTTCTGATTTGCATTGTTTAATTGAATTTTTAGCTTGAATCTCCTTTTATTTCATATTAATGGGGTTGACGTTTATTCAGTTTTTTCTTCTTAAGTGGTGCAGGAATAGTTCATTCCCAAAGTTGGAGTAGAGAATTAAATAAAGAAAATGATTTGAAGATGAAAAGAAAACTTAAGAAAGTATTCTGTGGCATCACTGGTTTTATTAATTCAGGATTTTGTTCTTATCATCATCCTGGATGTTTTCATGTTTTCTCGTGACGTTCCCCAATGTAAATGGTACTTGGAGCTTATTTGTTTGTGTGTGTATTGTCCATTTAGGTCAGAGTAAGCACAAGTGTTGTACCACCAAGCACCATGCTTGTATTTCTTTGCACAATTGTAACTACCATTATTGTCGTTATCCTTGTCCTTGGTTGTGAAACCCATTCCATTCAAGTTGTGTTTAGCAATTATGTAATCACCTTGTAAATTAATAAAAATGTTAATAATTTTAAAACTTTAATATTCTATGTAGACTGCACAACTTCGAGTAATATAAGGTTATAAATTTAAAAGAACTATATATTGGCTATTTTGGAAATGTTTCGTTCTTGACAAAACCTTTCCTACTAGACAGATATTAGTAAGTATATTAATTATTTTAAAACAAAATACTTTAAACACCAAATGTAAAATTGAGCAGACCATGGAAAACTCTAGATATGTTTTTTATCAATATAACTTATCTTAACGTATTCTTAAGTCAGTTTTTGATTAGATTGATTTTTGTGTTTATTAATTGAAGTACATTTGAAAGGGGGGGGGGGGGGGAATTCAGTACAATTTTATCAATTTTTTTTTGTTTTGTTTTGTTATAATTATTTTTTTTATTTCAAAAGTTGCAGGACCTATTACTTTCTTGGATTGTAATAAAACATTTTGCCTAATAATTATATTAATATGAATTGTAATTACCAGCGTTCCCACTGTATCCACTGATCGACAGTTTGTACTTTTTTGATTCATCACCAATAGAAAATTGGGAGTACTTTGCGAAAACCTTTGATCCTGAAAATTTTGACATTTCTATTCGGAGCTCTTGGTCACCATTTTTAGTAAGAGCATGAATATTGTCGTTCCCTGTACATAAAAAATCTATCTAAATACACAAGTATCAGTTTAAATTTGATTGAAAATGCTTTCATTTTTATTTTTTTAATTCGAAGGACAATTTCACTTACCAAGCCATAATTCCTTTAAAAGGTTACCAAAATCTTTCTTGTATTCATTCCAATTGCGATAAAAATTGGTTGAACCATCATATCTATTTTGAATAACCTGTCATTCAATAAAAGAATTTTTTGATTATTCCGAATGTTTAAATCAACTCTTTGTCATGTTTTGTAAATCTTATTTCTTTTTAATACATTAATCGATATCTCAGAAAAGCTTTCATAACCTTTTCTATTTTGAAAAAAAGGAAAATAGTTCACCCTTGTCTTCTTCCATGTTTTCTTCTCAGTTCGTCAGATAATGATAAATGAGTTTTCAAAAAAGTCATTGAACAATTCTGATAATATCTTAACTTGAAATTTGATGTTAAGTTTCTTTATTTTCAAGAGAAAAAAAGCTAGTTCTTCAAAACGAACGTCAGTATTTCTTACTACTTGTATGTATGACTCTTTCTTGTACCGAATTGACTTAAACTTGTATGGCTATTTTATTGACTAAATTAAACAGGAAACTTATGACACCTGATGTACGACATTTCCATTATTTCCTTTTCTCCAATGAAATCTGACTTTAAAATTTTTTTATTTTAAAACCATCTTCATTTTGGCAGGCATTTATCTCTGTTGAAATGTACTAGTGAGTAAAGTTACAAGTGACTAAGTATCATTACCGTCCAGCCCCCTCCATCGGTGGTCATGTCACAGTAAACCCGGACTGGATTTTTGTTGTCAGGATAAACGGTATATATTCCGTCCTTTCTTTTGGTAGACGGTTTCCTGCCCAAAATATCAGCACAGTTTTTCCCGGTCACTGAAACCATTAAATAACAGAATTTTAAACATATTTGACTTTAGAATAAAAACGGAAAAATGATAAATACTCAAAACCTATAATTGAACTATAGATAGAATAGGACTTGGTTTTTTATCCCATCGAACCTGAGGCCCCGAAACCATGAACTGAGAATAGACTTATTAAGTCAAATTTCAATTTTTAATATCTTCCATTAGAAAAGTTTGCAACTGAGCAAAATACTTCAATTTTAATATATGTTGAATTTTTCTTAATTATCGAAATTATTTCAAAAGTTATATTGATTTTTAATTTTGACTTAAGTGTGTTCTCAGTTTATGGTTTTTGGGCCAGGAATGAGGTACTTGTAAAAAGTTAATGTAATTCAGTGTAATTATTTACATTTTTAAAAGTAATTGGAATTATTTGTAATCAAACATTATTCAGTAATTTGTAATCGATTTTCATTATTTTCGTTGAAAAAGTACCTTGAAATTTCAATTTTCAAATATAAAATTTAAGAAATAAATAACATAACTGGTAGTGAAAAAGATTTCAGGGAAACGAACTTGGTTGGTCACGTGATCAAATCAAAGGGCTTCTTAGTAAATCTGATCTTGTACCAACCGGTTTTATTTCCCAGTGCATTTTCTACCATGTCACTAGTAAGTGAATACTTATATTTATATTTTAAATGAATATTCGAATAAAAAATATTACACGCACGTACGGTCAACATTATCATTATGTATTGACCCGCATGTACGCAGTGACCAAGAAGTTAAGCCATTATCGTTTGCCCATCATCGCAAGCCAGGGGTCCTGTGACAAGACGTTGCCATTTGACCCCTGGCATATTTCATTCATTGAGTCAAATGCTGACTGACGTTTTTCATACTAATTGTTAGTTCATTATTTATACACTGAATTGACGACGGATTTTTTCCGTAATTTCACGATCACGACATTGAGCACACGGCGGGTGTGACCGGTCGGCAGGGGATGCTCACTCCTCCATGGCACCTGATCCTACCTCTGATGTTTCGGAGGTCCGTGTTTGCTCTGCTCCTATTTTGTATTGTTTTATGGACTTCGAGATTGAATACTGTTCATTATCTCTATATCTTACATTCAATATCTGTGGGCTGACTGCGGCGATGTCTTTCGGAGAAATTGCAAATCTTAATTGTTTTTTCTTATCCCTCAACCAATTTGATAAAGCTACTCTATGCTAAACAATTTGTAACAAGTGCATTTGAGGTGTCATCGGAATCCTTATCTAACTATTTTGAAAGCTTTTGTTAAATTGTTACTTCTCTATGAGAAAAGCAAGTACATATTGATATTCAACACATATGTGAGATCTGTTAATTATGAATTGAAGTATATTTTCCAAAGCAATTGTGTAAAGAATTCCTGACACTAGAAATATATCATGAATAGATAGTATGCTGTAATTGAATATATCAAAAATATAAAAACAACATTGAATTTTTCAATACAATGACAAATTACTATAACAAAACATTTATTTATAATGCTATCGTGAAGTTCATACAATACATACCTTTAAAAGTTCTTAAAGTATAGAATTTTATCAATGTGAAGAATACTGGAAAAACCCATAGATCGAAATGACACTGAGGTTTGAACCTGAATATGCGATTGTCAACATACCTACATTTATTCCACTCAAAATTGTTCCTGCAGGAAGTTTATAATTGGATGTTATATCCATTGATATCGGTGTTTTAATCTTGGCGAATGATTTTACGTGATCCCATGGAGCAGATTTCAAGTAATTAGATATTTGGTCTGGAAATGGAAAACATTTAGATTAAGATCCTTCAAGTGGGTATCTTTTTTAACATTGAAATTAAAAAATATATATTTTTTAATTCTATTTATTTATTATTATTTTTTATTTCTATCATTATTATTGGGGTTTGATGAAAATTCTATGAAATAACTTCAATCTCGTTTACATTCAAAATTTTGTAAATGTTTTGGTCTATGCTTTTGACCTTGTTTGTCCTTTATTTCCATATTCTTTAGTAAACATAAAACATATTAATATAATTTTCGATCTGACAAAAATGAATTAAAGTTACCTTTCACTGAATGATGTGGGTAAAATCCATACACATTCCCCATCAGCAAAATAAGTAAGGGAATCAGAAGATCCATTTAAAGGATTTTTATTGTATATTCTAATTTGCTGAAAAAAATATTATAAGATACATTTTATATATATCATGGAATAAGTATAGAATATTATTGAAGCAGTTTTCATATAATGTATAAGATTTTACCTTCTTTGCGTCCACAAAGTACATAGAGGCCTTATTTATATATTTCATGTTAATGTACCACACATCACAAAAAGCCATGATATGTAATTATAGAACTTAAATACCATAATGCGTGTCAGTAAAATGGAACTATTGATTTACTTTCGCACAGATTGATAGAGGTAGGCGTTGTGAAAAAAAATACTATTTTGGTGCACCATTTCCATTTTATACCAGTAAAGACGAAGACATGTTTTTTAAAACTGTGAAACAAGGAAAATAATCAGTTCATTCTTCTGTTTTTAAATGGAAACACTTCACAAAAGCCAAGAAGATGTTAAGATCATCAGATAATTATAAGTTCAAAGTTACGATCCAAGGTTGCTGCTGATCCAAGCTGGTAAAATTGTAATTATTATAATTTTGTGTCTTTCAATGTTAGTAAATTGTAAATAACTTTGTATTTATTCTCTTATTTTTTCACTATAAGTTCACCTTTCACCTACTTACTGAGTATGGTAGAGACAGACTATAGCAATTAAGTAATTATCTCACTTGGTCAAATTCCCGTTTTGCACTTAAAAATTCTTCTTAGAATTTAATACATGTTATGTGAAAAATGAATTAGTGAAAGATGAATATAATGAGACCTTAAAATAATAAAACACATGCATATTTTTAATAAAAATCATTTTGCTTTTACTTGGAAAAATAAAACGGATTTTGAAAGTGACTGTATCTCTGTTTTTCCCCCCTTGTTTTTGATAAATTACTTCATATTCTTTAACTGCAATTAAAAAATTTTCAGCCACTAAATAAATGCAAATCCTATAAACTTTACCAGGTATTATGAATAACATTTCCAGGTATCATTAATACGAAGAACGCAAACGATTCTATCTCTGTCAATGAATTTTTATTGATGATCAGCAGTTCAAACCTGAAATAAATTTTACACCTAACTATTTCAAACACATATCAACCATAACATACTGAATATAACGTATATACATGTATATGTACGTATAATATTTTTTTATTTGATCATATGATGGTTATATAAATTATGTACAGTGTATGCGTCTCTGCTTTGTCAAGTTAAAAATTTTAATGTAAAATAATTATTTTTTTTTAACAAAATGGAATTATATCTGATAAAATATTTCCTTTTATTTTTTCATCTTTGATGTATTTATATAAATTATCTCCAATGATTTTTTCCTTCATTAAATATTATTTCATTTTGGTTTATTATCTGATATGTTTTAGTGAACAGCTGATTTGTTATTTACGCGAGTTATCGTTCTTGCTGTCTGAGAAAAGAAATAGTTCCTCTTACCGAGCTTGAAAAATGAACTTTAAAACTTCATTTTATAAAACTTGTTTAGGTATTTTATATATTTAGGACTTGCTAAATCAGAATATCGCATCAGTTTTGCTGATAATATCCTACATTTTTGCAGGTCTTCCGTAGGTCTTCTCTAGGTCTTCAATTACCTGTAAGTCTTAAATTAGGTATTCCCGTACACCAATGAGATCTTGAATAATTTTAATATTTTACAAAAATCTGCTATCTATCAAGAGTCCTTTCGCCCAGAACTTTACATTGTATATAAATCTTCTAAAGATACAATTTGTTTTCATCCAAAACCTATCAAACAGACATTACCTTCAATATAAAACGTGATGAATTTCCAAACTTTTTTTTCATAGGAATTGAGCTCACAACCTCACCTTGTCAATGGTTATCTGCAGACTATTTTTGCCAAAAAACCATTTTGCGTCTTTATATACATCGGTACTCTGAAATGGTGTTGAAAGGTGAGAAAAAGTAATGAATTTGACATACCATCTTCGGAGAGGAGACAAAGCTTTTCAACAGTCTGTTGACATTTTCGAAGAACTGTTTCAAGTAAGGAAAACACATCCAAATAAATCATCAATAGCCTACGTTATAAATTCGGTTCAATCAAAGGTCTACTCGATCAAAACATTGTTGACATGCTAGTTATTGCTGAAACTAAACTGGATGATTCATTCCAAGATGTACAATTTAATGCGGTTAATTTCCATTTACGGAGAAAGATGGTAGATCAGATATAGCCTCTTTCGATAACCTACTTACCTTCCCATAGGCACTCTCTAGTCTTGTGGTTTTTTTAACTTCCGGTAGGTAAAAGTTGCTGATTTAGGCTGTAGCGTCATGCGCCAAGGACGTTGCAAAATCGTTTAAAAATGGAGGCTTTTGATAAAATGACAAAGAAACAACTACTAGTATTTGACTTTCTTACAATGTGTAAAACCAACTTTTGGAAACAAACCTGAACTTATTCATTGCGCTAAAGGTGCAAATGACTTAGGATTAGATGTGGACCTGATAAGGACGTCGATTCGGGAAATCTACATGTACAGGATAAAATAATCACACTGCTTAGGGAAAGAATACCACTAACGTCAAAGATAACAGAAGGCTGGGTGTCGAACTGCGAGTATTTCCCAGACGTTACGGAAAACGAAATTTACAATTACTTGGTATTAAGTAAACGTACCTTAAGTTTGATTTACACCAACAATCAGCAAGGCGACAACTTAAAGCCAAAATATTTTATAATCAAGGTCATGTACAGAACATTGAAATTAATCTAGTTACAAAAGACTCTTCACATTGTAATATAAAATGTGACTGCTTACCGTCAATTCCAACTAAAGACAAAAGTAAAAAACCTGCGTACAGGACTTGGGTGTGCTTGTCTAAAGTCACTGGTAGAGTCCACACAGCAGAATGTAACTGTGTTTCTGGGTAAGTAAGTTATATAATATAATCATGAAAATTACAAATGTAATAAGCTAGAGCTACTTAGGGTCTTTTTTGGTCCGGTGATTTACTGAAAAACCAAAACTAGACCTGTGATTTTTTGAAACTGCTCTTTCAGCCTCTTTGTAACATTTCCTAATGCACAATATTTAAGTATGCTTGACATGCAGGTAAAAATGTGTTCATAACAGGTAGGCCTACATGTGCATAAAAAGTTTTCGTACATTAAATGAGAACTGTTTGAGAAAAAGAATCAGTACCCAGGTGTCTTTTTCCTCTCATTTTGCATCAGTTATAAAATTCAACATCCTACCTGTACTAGCACTTAGTTGTTTTAATGATTATAATTATATAAAAAAAAGACTAATACTTTCTTTTTCACTTCTAGAAAAGGGGGTGCTTGCAACTATGCGTAGCAGCATTATTGTATGGGATTGTTGACATAACAGTAAAAAAAACACACTGGTAAAATTGCCCCGACTTCAAAAGCATGCGAGTGGATCAAACCACGTAGCAGAAATCTTTCAAAAAAAAAAAAAGCGCAGGACAATGATTTCAGCAAAACAAAGACGACGGGGAAAACAAATCATGTTCATATAGTGTAAGTGAGAAAAATCCAGACCTAACCTTACCATCTGTTCAAGTTTTTAAAGAAAATCTGACAAAAATAAATCCAATGGCAGGTTGGCTAAAAAACTTTTCAACTACAGGTATTGAAACATTACCCCCCTCCCCCCGCTGCAGAATCAATACCTGAACTTCACCATAAAACCTTCTCTTACCTTGACAATGTTGATCTTTTTTCTGATGAATGTAAACAACAATTTGTGCAATATTTTGGTTCGCTTCAGGTTTCAGCAGAAGAGTGTGAAATTATCAATAAAATGACGATAGGTCAACACATAAACCCAACGTGGAGAGAAGCCAGGCATGGGAGAATAACTGCCTCAGACTATGGTAAAATTGCACGGAGAAAACCAGAGACTTTACCTGACAATTTACTTAAGTATATTCTTGGATACTGTCCATCTTTTTCAAACAAAGCAATTGTATGGGGGAGAGAGCATGAAAAAGTTGCTATTGACTGCTACCTGCTCAAGGTGAGGGAGATACATCCACCACTTACATTCCAGGAGACTGGACTAGTTGTCAAGGAATCGCTACCTCATTTAGGTGACAGTCCCGATAAACTAGTGTACTGTCCTCACTGCAAGCCTGACCATGGTGTTATTGAGGTTAATAAAGCTTTAAAGATGTGCATCCCAAAGAAGCGGCTTTAAATGACAATATTTTTTGTATCTTAGATGAAAATGGAAATTTTTACAGTTGAAGAGAAATCATGCATATTTTTATCAGGTTCAATGACCATCAGTCAAAGAAACTGGTGTCACTTATTATATGGACAAATAAAGGTCTCGAATTTGAAAAAAAAATTATATGATGAGGAACTTTGGGAAAATGAAATGCTTCCAAAACTGAATTCTTTTTATTGTTCTGCGGTGTTACCCAAGCTTTTTCAGACATAATTAAAAAAGGGTCTTACATTAAAATTTTACTGAGTACTGACATATGTAATTAAAGCTCTCTAATCAGGTATGACATAACTGTGCATTTAGAATATGTGTACATGTCCTCTTGTATCATATTCAACATATTTTGTATCTGATCAATAAATTTATAACGGAGTACTATATCTTATTTTTCTAAATGTAGGTACATACAATACCTCATAATCTAGTAATAAATTTTACACAAGACCAAAGATCATTGCAATGATAGTCAGATACAAGGACATGATTCATTTAAAAACTTGATTCACACAGTAACTTTAATAACAGACAACATGAAATGAGAGATTTCTGAATCTTTTAAATGTAGAATTTCAAAAGATTTACTGACGTAAGTAATGGCAGTGCAAATGAATGAAGTCATTCTGGCTCATCATTGCTATGACCTTTGGAACACTTGATTTCTTACTTGCTCATGATCGACATACTGAGTATAAATATTAAATGTAAAGACGTACGTAGTTTTTTGCTCTTTATTAAATGGTATAACTACTTAATAACAAGTTTTCCTCTACATATGCAGTATGTTGCACAATGAAGTACTTGATGCTTATTATTAAAGATACATTTTTTATATGATTTACATTGTAAATTATACTATGACTGAATAAGTGGGGGCATGAGATTACAGAGAGCACACACAACAAACACTATTTTGGACACTTTGTCATGAAGTGATATTGGAACTACACCTTGAATAATTTTGAAGTTTTTTATTCGCTCCATTGCTCTTTCCATATGTATTCTTAAATTTGCTATTCTTCTGGTTTTTTCCACTTCAGATTGAGTTAGCCTATCATGTTTCTTTTAAAGGGGGATAATGAGATCAATTCCATTTGGAGTGCATAGGTCAGCAATGAAAAACCCTTTGTCACCCAATATTGCATCCCCAGATTCACATTTTCAATTAATGTTGACAACTGTGTGATTTGATTGTCAGATGTACTTCCAGTCCATAAATCGGAGACATGTGTAATTACTCCACTAGGGCTAATTCCAATGAGCACTTTCCATGTCATGTGTGACTTGTAGTCTGAATACATTCTTCCTTTGTTGGAGAGTGACTGAGGTGTTTCTGTGTAGATCTCGGTGCAGTCAATAATAACACGACAATTTGGGTTCCTTCGTTTAAAACTGTCAGGCATGTCTTCTTTGATAATATTCCGTGTTGGCCAAGCAAATAAAAAGTCTAGATGTTCATACATCAAATCTAACCAATCATTAAAAATTTTACTGCAGGTTGACACAGATATATTAAATCTTTTAGCCAAATCTTGAATTAAGAGTCTGAACCTTAAACGCATTAAAATCATTAAAAACTCACCAATATCTCTCATTTTTTGGGGGTCTTCCTCCAGTATCAGGAACTTTTCATTTATGATAGACTTACAAATGTTGGAATAATAAATACAAAGCCTCTTTGTTTGGCAAATCAGTATGAAATGAAATATCTTGTTTCAAGTCTTCAACTGTTAAAAACGGTAACGTTGTACTTAATACTTTTGTCACATAATTTTTTTTAAGAGATCGTATTACTCCCATATGAGTCAAGGTAACTTTCGAATTGTCTGAATACAAAATTATCTTTCTGTTGAACACCAGTTCAATGATGAGAGAAGGTTGATGTTCTATCAATCCACAGTAATCGTGCATTAATACGGATGTGTCCAACACAGATTTGTTAGCGTCAACAGTAAAACTAGGGATTTCAACAGAATCGGACTCTGAATTCTCTGAATCTGATCTCACTGTATTTTCTTGTTGATTGTCATTTATTTCTTTTAAAACCTCCGTTGTTTTGTCAAACTTAAAATAAAGGCCTTATGTGTAGTATAAGTATCCATATAAATGGAGTTTTATGAAGAGACTTACTTCTACATTTGACAGCTGACTTTTACATTTTGTCTATGTTAAAATTGTAAAAGTCAGTCGTCAATTGTAAAAGTAAGTCTCTTCATAAAACTCCAATATGGTGTACATCATTCAATAGATTACTAGTTATAATGATTTTTTCTCAGCCTCAAGGAAATATGTATATACTATGTGTAACAATATAATAGATGAATTTCACATTCCTAAGACTTATCCCCCGTTGTCGGCGTAACGCTCATTTTTCCTCTTTGTCCTTTGCAAGTTACCTGTTAATATGTTTAAAATTCAAACGTTATATGACAATTTCGATCTGTACAGTCATGTATAGCCATTGTATGACGCAACATGAAAAACTAAATGAGAATATTCATATAGATTTTATTTTTAGGATACTGACCCATAAAGTTGGTAAGGTTATAGAGGGAAAACAGCGTCTTACGCCGGTTGACCCCGGATTGACCCGGCAAATGGGAATAACTTTGGTAAATGTGAAAGTCGACTTTTATATACCAGTTTGTGGTGATACACAAAATATTGCACCATATCATTGTATATGTACAAAATTGTACACCTGTGTATCACGATAAATAACACAAGGGCAATTTATGAAGTTCTTTTACTTTAACCTGATAAAACTGATAATCTTTATTTACTTCTGATGTTTATCTACTGTACATGTTTTCAGAGCTTATTCAATTCAATGTTACATAAATTTGTACTGTAAACTTTATCAAGTTTATGAAAAAAATCTACAATTCCTACCCTTCACATAATAATCTGATGATTACAAACATAGAAATTCAGTTTATACTTAATACCACAGGGAACATAACATTAATATCACAATACGTATCATGATACAACCACATTGAATCACCATACATCATGGTACGCTGCTTTTCATGCTTTAATCGAATCGTTACACCTTTACTTTAAACTGGTATGAACGTCCATGATTTTATTTACCCAATTCTGATAAATAAAAAAAAATACATACGTTTGTAGTCTTGATTTGTGATGAAAAATAGATGGTAATGGATTGTCCTTCGTCGGACCAGACAGAGCGATGAAATGCTCGTAACATAGTCTAGAGTTATGGAAGGGGAATTACCGCCAAAAGTCTATGTATCCTGCAGTTATTCACTTTATTGTTTTCATATTCGTCTTTATTACATTTCATTTTGACTTTTATCCTTCTTCATTTTGCTCTTACTTCTATGTTGATTTATTCCTGTAAATTTATTCTACTTTCTTAAATGATTATCTCTATAACGAACGTTAATTCAACTAGATGAGATCTCGTTGCGAGCAACGAGTAGGTCTTCCGTTGAATTTTTCGATAAGATGAGATGTGATTTTGCCTGAGATATTCGTTTAAAGGGAATGACAATAAGTTTTCCTTCATTAATTTTAAAGTTTCTGTTTTTTATCACGATATTCTGAACATCTTTTGTTCAATATGGCTTATAAAAATACTCCCTCTTTTCGAGACGTAAAGCAGAAAAAATATATATTTTTGGCTCCTTGTAACCACTTATTACGTAACACGATATAAAAATTGTATCGTATATTGTTGCAAATCGTTAAGATAAATACTTTTGCTTCAGTAATATATAACAAAATATTGATCATTAGAGAGTTATAGATAAAAGACTCTTGGCCCCTTCTGAGCCCTTAATTTAAGGGGTCAGCCCTATTTTCTTAATATTAAATGAAAGGTCTTGTGATTTTGAAGATTTTTTGTTCAACAGTTATTCAGAGATTTCTTTTCGTTGTGGAGATATGCTAAATGGAAATATTTAGGGGCCACTACTTCTAGTCCTTAATGGGGCCGTTTAGCAAAAACTCAAAGTATGCATATTGTTTAGAACATTATTCTAACCATCTTTTGTTCAATATTGCTTATCAAAATATTCCCCCTTTTCGAGATATAAAGCGTCAAAGATTTTATATTCTGGCCCCTTAGGACCCCTAATTACGTAGCATATGATCAAAATTTTATCATATGTTGTTGCAAATTGTTAAGATAAATACTTTTGCTTCAGTAATGTATAACAAATTATTGATCATTAGAGAGTTAAAGATAAAAGACTTTTGGCCCCTCTGAGCCCTTAATTTGAGGGGTCAGCCCCATTTTCTTGATATCAAATGAAAGGTCTTGTGATTTTGAAGATTTTTTGTTCAGCACTTATTCAGAGATTTCTTTTGGTTGTTCAGATATGCTAAATGGAAATATTTAGGGGCCACTCCCACAAGTCCTAAATGGGGCCGTTTTGCAAAAATTCAAAGTATGCATATTGTTTAGAACATTATTCTGACCATCTTTTGTTCAATATTGCTTATCAAAATATTCCTCCTTTTCGAGATATAAAGCGTCAAAGATTTGACATTCTGGTCCCTTGTGACCCCTAATTACGTAACATATGATCAAAATTGTATCATATATTGTTGCAAATCGTTAAGATTAATACTCTTGCTTCAGTAATGTATAACAAAATATTGATCATTAGAGAGTTATAGATAAAAGACTCTTGGCCCCTCTGAGCCCTTAATTTAAGGGGCCAGCCCAATTTTCTTGATATCAAATGAAAGGTCTTGTGATTTTAAAGATTTTTTGTTCAACACTTATTCAGAGATTTCTTTTGGTTGTTCAGATATGCTAAATGGAAATATTTAGGGGCCACTACCACTAGTCCTTAATGGGCCGTTTTGCAAAAATTCAAAGTATGCATATTGTTTAGAACATTATTCTGACCATCTTTTGTTCAATATTGCTTATCAAAATGTTCCCCCTTTTTGAAATATAAAGCGTCAAAGATTTGACATTATGGTCCCTTGTGACCCCTAATTACGTA